ACAGAAACAGACCTGGCTCCTCGGCTGTTGAGCTCTTCACTTAGGGGCTGGGTTTGGTGGTTTCTATTTTTATTTTGTAGCTTGTTTAGTGGTTTGGGGTTTTCAATGTAGAATTCATAATATTCTACACATATTAGTAATGAAGTTGGTTGTAGTGAGAAGCTACAAAGTTCAATCTGTAGAATTTAATGTTCATTAAAAATATTAAATCTGAGCTGCCAAAGTAACTTAACAGACAAAGCACATGTAAATCTTAGAAATACATGTAATTTCTTGTAGGCTTTCCTAACTACTCCCTGGTGCAGGGAGATGCACAAAATTCCATGTACCACCAGCTGTAAGCTTTGAGATAGTGTCTATACTTACAATTACCATTTTAGCCTATAAACAGATTATAGTTGAATTTTTCATTTTGGATAATAACACAATAGGATCGAGTCAGCATTTATGCATCACTAACTTCAACAACACCAATATTGCTGCCCACAGGGGCTGTGAACATCCCTGGCAGTGCCCAAGGCCAGGCTGGATCACCTGGGATAGTGGGAGCTGTCCCTGCCCATGGCAGGGGTGGGAGGAAATCAACTCTTAAGGTTCCATCCAACCCAAACCACTCTGTGATTCTGTATCATGTTAAATAAACTTAGCCCAGCAAAAATAAATGCCCTATTGACCACCCTACAGAAATAAAATTGTAGTTGCTCTTAAATTGTCACACTTTTGAATTCATCTTTATCCAATCTATCAGATCTCATTTCAGATTTTCTGTAGAACAGTCATTTGGTCACTTACATTTTTTATGTAAGAAATTTAAAACAAAACCAAAACCAACTTGCTCACAAAACAAACTTCCCTCTAACAGGCTATAAATTCTTACCTTTTCTTAAAGAAAGTTCTGTCAGCTCTGTAAACAATAATGGTGTACAATGGAACCACTGGAGTTGCAGGCAGGGAGCTTGTCCCATTTTCAAGCTGAACCAAGAATGACAGTGCTCCACTTAAAAGGCAGCTGAGCAGATTACTGTGCCATGCCTTTATTTACTCCAGATGCTCTTCTCTTCCTTTTTAGTACTGTCTGTGTGCTGACCACACAAGGCTCCAGCCAGCAAACTGATATTTTGCTTTCCCATTGCTTTATCAGTTGAAATGAGGTTGCACAATCAGTAATTACACTGCCAAGGTGTAGCAGCTGAGCAGGCACTCAGGGTACCCCTATTCTGAGGGGGACAACTGTCAAATAATATTTTTATCAAAGAACACCATTAACTTTCTTCCCCAAAACAGTCCCATAACCTGTTTTTTGTCTAGCACTACTTTCAGTGGTCTTACAAAACAGAAGTTTCAAATGGTTCAGTTTATTTAGTAATGTGTAGAGCTCTCACAGGGCTGGGATTAAATATTTTATCAGGGTCCTGCAGGGGGTTGGCAAACTAAAGGAAAATAATGAAATAGGCTGAATTATTTTTTTCTTTAAGAATAGCCCATGTGACAAAAAAATACTGCTATAATGAAGCTGGAGTTCCCTGTGCATGGATAGATATGGAGAAGCTGCAATCTGTGATTTCAATGAAAATGCAGAGCAGTGCCCAGAATTCTGCTTCTGAAGCCTCTTGAGAAGCCACAGTGTGGATGAGGTGCACTGGCAAAGAAAACAGACAAAACATGCCAGTGTTGAGAGACACAAAAACACCAGGCAGTACGTGGTTAGAGGGTGAGAAGAATCTCTCAAACAAAACTTGAGTAACTTGAAGGTTCAAACCAAGTCAAAGCCATTTGTTGGCCAGAGAATGAATCCTGCTGGTGTCCTAGAGGAGCTGAACTGATGGGGTTAACTGGGTCCCTTACAGGGCAAGTCAGAAAAGGGCACAAGTAAGGCCCAGCCCTCCCAGTGGTTCTGCTCCCTGAAGTCATTCCACGACACACTGATAGCATAACAAAATCAATCCTTGCCTTGCTTTGCTTGCAGAAGCATGAGTAGTTTTGGCAGGAATTTTCTGTACAGTGCAGTTGGCAGTGAATTTACACTTTGTTCTATGGTAATTTTCACACACTGTTCACAAATAACAAGCTGCTAGATTTCACAAGACAAAGAAATTCCAGTGATTCATATTTAACTTTTAACCCTACAAGAGTAACCTTAGAAGTGTTACACATACAGGGGTAAAGCAATTAGGGTGAGCACTGTGAATAATGGGAAGTCACAAATATAACCTTCCAAATTTCAGTCAAAAGCAGCAGCCACAGGTAACAGCTTTAACCTGCAAAGTAACTGAGCAAAAACAACAGGAAAGGTTCTAAAGTATTTTAAAAACCATTATTATTTTACTTGCTAAAATGTTGCTGCTTCCTATGCTTGTTTGCTTGCACTTGTACCTGGAAGTACTGCAGCATGCTGAAATTTCACTTTTTCCAGGTGAGACATTTTTGAATTACAGGTTAATTAGCCTTCAGTATCATCTAAATGTAAAAGTATCAGTATTCTGGGATATAGCTTTGAAAAACTTCTCCCAATCAATCATTAATTCCAGTTAAACTAGAAGTATGATATGAATTCTTTACTATTTACAGAACAACACACTAAAGTTTTACAAGATATCTCTAATAAAAATAAAATTAAAAATGCAATAGCAAGCACAAAAACTTGCAGCACTTTAGAGGTTACACTACACTCCTCACCCCCAGTTTAGGTGTTAAGGTTTCCTAAATTCCACTTTTGAAAAACAAAGCAAAAGGGACTAGAATGTCTGATATATTCTGCCCAGACTGAAGATCAATCAGCACAAGGTCTTCAAGTGCATCTCAGCTGAGGATCAGAAACACCAAGTGCATCAGCCAGCAATCTTTACCTTTCTCTGGGGGGTGCCACTGCCACCTCTTAGCCTGGAACCCTACAAGGATTAAGGAAATATCTCTTTCCTGCCCCAGGATTAGGTGGAGAAGCAAAGCCATCCTCTCACTAGCACTTCTTCAGCATGGGTACACTCTTCAGCATGTTACCCTTGTAACATCTGCACACTTGAACAAGCAAGCAGGGAGGCAAAATACAGGTCTAAAGTTATTTACTAGGTCACTTTTCTCAAAGGAAGTGGTAGAGATGAAGCAATTCTGGTGGATGTTTCTTCAGAATGTAACCCAACTTCTCAGTCCCTCGACATAAAACAGCAGACTCCACATGAAGTCACCATAACAATTTTTAGTTTCTTCCTTCACAAGGCAATTGAAAACTCTGAGACTGGAGGCAACACTTACCTCTAATGCCAGCGCAGTCTTGTCATAAGCACAGGGAACTCTCTTTTGGACAGCTTTGGCATAGACTGGTCCGTTCTGTGTGGATGGCAGAGGGTTGATGACGGCTCCGGGCGTGCTGGACGCTGCGGGCAGGGGAGTGGCGGTCTGAGGCTGCGCGTACGCGTGGGCAGGTTCTGGGATGCCGTAACTGTTGGAATTCCTGTTGCCATGCTTCCCCACAGAGGGTCTGCCCAGCTTTTCTACATAAGGAACAGGGATCATCCCAATCCGACCCTCCTTGTTTCTGGCACTCCACCACTGTTCCTCTGGCTTCTCCACGATTGCCAGCAGCTCTCCCTTTTTGAAGGGAAGATCCTCGGCGTCGTTGCCGTGGAAGTCATAGAGAGTCCGCACGTACTCCAGGTTCTCCTCTGCAGTGGGCAGGGCAGGGGCAGGTCCAGATCCCATGGGGGGGCTTGGGTACCTGAGGGTGGGGAAAAGGAAAGCTGTTGGGTTGTGTTTCCAGGAACAAAGCACCAGGTCTGCAGCAGAACATCAACTAGAGAAGAGTTGCTTGGATTTGTAACAAAATCATTGCCTGGTAGCACTGTGAGGAATTAAATGAGCAACTCACACTTCTCAAATAATGATTTGAATACCCAAAGTTGCTTCCCCAGAAGCCAAATTGAATCTATCATGGGATGCAGAAAGCTGGGAGAAATAATGGAAAATCTTCATCCACCTGCTCTGGATTGTTGTGAAGATCTTAGAGTCAAATTAATTCTATAGCTTATGAGAATAATGATACAGAAAACCAAATTAAGACTGTTGGAGTAATTGAGGTAGAAGGGCAACACATAAAAATGTAGCTGTGAATCTCTCCAAGAGTCCTGTGTCACCTCCAAAGTCATCCAAGTAATTTTGTTTTTAACTTCAGCATCCACTCTGAAGAATTCAGTACATAAATGCAAGACTTGAAACAGTGTAGAGGAAAAAGGGAACAAAAGTAAGATGGTATGACATAAAGACTGTATGAAATACTTGTATCCACTGATAAGAAGGAACTAGGGAAAAAAACCCAGCAAGCCTTCTATAAATATTCCTTTGCCTATTAACCATATTATCTGTAATTTATTTACATAATTGTTTATTACTATGTCCATCATTTGTCAAATAGACTCACTTTATTGTCTGTGTTCATATATAAGATTGTCCATCAAACGAGAATGCTTTTGCTATTTTCATCATAAATGTTACCCATTTTATTCAGAGCAGCTGTCAGAAAGCCTCAGTGGATATAGGCCACAGCAGAGAGTTATTATCTAAGCTATGGGAGCAAGAATGCATGTCATTGGCCTACTTCAATTCTCTTCTGCTACTTGCAAAACACCATGGAAGTCAAATCCCTGTGATTTCTGCAAGATATGCCAGAAGCCCTGAAGATAAAGATATTCCATCTTTGAGACACCCTGCTGCAGCCAGGGCAGGGGGACAGAGGGAACCCCTCAGGAGCATCAGGAAGGCTTCAGGAACATCAGCAAGGATGGCCAGAGCTCACTGCTAGAGATGCAAAATAAACAGAGAGTTTAAAATGGTCCATTCAGAACTGTTTTAAAAGTTTAACATGTCATCTCCAAGATCCAGAAGTACTGAGGAGCTCTATATAGAAACCACCTTTCAGACTGCACTTTGTGAAATTAAAAGAATGAACAGCTTTCAAAAGCACAAGCATCTGTGCCCAGGAAAATGCCAGAGAAATGAGAATTAGCATAACAGTTCTGAAGCACATACCCCTGTTCTAAATGTAGTTAATTAAAAATAAAAAACCCAAAAATCTGGAAATGCTATCTTTCATCCTCCCTCTTGCAGCAGGCAGTCTCCTTTGAACAGCATTTAAAACCATCAACCACATAACTGATTTTTCCAAGATTTCTGATTTTTCAAAGTCATGCTAAGTTGATCCCATTTGTATCTCTATTAAAAAGTCAATTCACTGCAGGTAAGGTCCCATTTGTCTCAGTGCTGAGAGAACAATATGCAACCAAAACCTTGAAAATCAGGTGGCACTAAAATACTCACAGAACATTTCACACAGGACTCCTCACAAATACCAAGCATGCAATCAGCTCTGAGTTCCCAAGTGTTCTGGGAAAGCCAAGCCAATCATGGCCATAAATGATTAAGAACAAATTTTTGCATCCAGAAAGGTTCAAGAATATCCAGGTTGGAGAGCAGATGTAAGCATGAAGATTGCTTCAGCATTTTTCCTTCCCAACTCTCCACAAGTTTAAGCATGCATGTAACACTGGGCAGCTCCATTCCTGCAATGGTGAAAATGAATTTTTTTTCATCTACCCATCTCTCTAGCCACAATCACTACCAAAGGCTGCCAGCAGCTTGCAGAGTTCCTGAAGGTTGTGCTTGCTGTCACATCCTGCCCATCACTTGACAGCTTTCAGAATGACTTTTGAACACTTGAGTTTTTCAACCTGACAAGCTATTGTCAATCTTTGACAAGTGACTGTCATTAAGCACTGGTCCATGCCAAGGTTCAATGGTGATTATAAACCTCAAAGTTATTCTTCCCTCCTAATCTGCAAAACATAATAAGACATTAAAATGCAGACTTCAGAGGTGAACCAATTTGGATTTATTTTCTTAATATGTCACTACTTTTCTCTTATTTAATTTAATTTCATTCTATCCAGGAAGCCCAAAAGTTTTGACAAAAGATACTGAGAAAGGTTTTATTAATTTAAAGTAAGGAATGTGTTCTAGGGTTCTTCATAAGCAGTTCACTGATGCATGTTGCAGGTATGTCCCATGCTGGGACCAGGACAAAGAAGGAGCTCACAGCCAAGTCACATTTTCCCATCTCCTAGAGCAGCATTTCTCAGTGAAGTGTATGGTGCATGCACATATAGATGAACAGTGCCATGAGCAAACTGTGAGAAATAAGTGTTTCCCCTTTTTTTTCGTGCAGAAATGCCACTCTAGAAGTTTGGGAAATGCTGCCCTAGAATGTGTTAATGCTGACTTAACAGGGCAAAGCAGTCTAATCACATAAAAGCCAGCTCCATTGTAATCACTGTGGGTGCAGGGGTAGACAGCAAACTAAGCTCAGAGGTTGTACTTCCATCAGGGAGAGGACTGGTGAACCAGCTCCTTAACCATCCTTGGAACGGAGACAATGCTACAAGAAAAGGGTAACACAAAAAGGGTGACGTGCGGCCACACCCTCTCTCAAAGCAATTACAGCCCGTGCAGAGGTACAAGGAACCTCCACACACAAGGTCAGCACAGACACCGTGGATTATTTGACTGAAAGAGCAACACTTTTAATTGTCGGCGAGGTCCAGACAGTTAAGAAGGCCCAGTGTTAGAAACGAATTTATTAGTATTTATTCACACCATCTACACGCAGTGCCAGGCTCCCGGAGCTACTGGGCTGCCCTGTGACACCGCTCCAGGTCGCACCTCAGGCGCCACTCGGGCACAGGTGGCGGAGGGTGTGGCGGGGGCGGGCGACACTCACCTGGGCGCGGGCTCGATCAGGGTGGTGGTGTCCAGGTAGTGGATCTTATAGAACTCCAGCAGGGCGGGCAGGTGCTCGAACTCCTGGTCGCCGATCTTAAAGCGGCGGTTGGGCAGGGAGTTGATGATGTAGTGGGAGACGCGGGAGTTCTCGGACACCGAGAGCACGTAGTCGCCCGGGCAGGTGGACGAGTCCCGCACCAGGAACATGCCGTGCCGCTGCCCCTGCAGCCGCGTCTGCGCCTCCGCCCGGGACACCGGGCCCACGTACCAGCTGGAGCGGTCCGACGAATCGAAACGAGCGGCGGAGGACATGGCTCCGGGCGGGGAAGGGGAAGGAAAGGGAGGAAGGAAGGTGAGGAGCCCGAAGGCCCAGACGGAGGAAGAGACCCGGAGGAGGCCTGGGCAGAGAGGCCTGGGAGGTGGAGCGGGCTGGGGGCGAGGGGGAAGCGGCTCGTGCCTAGTCCGGGAGAAAGGAAACGCAGGGAAAGGGGGATCGGGGAGGTGGAAGCTCTGCGCCGCTGGAGGCGAAGGGCCGAGCAGCGGCTGGGGTGGGGCTGGCCAGACGCGGCGCGCAGGGCCCCCGAGTCTCCCTCAGCGGCGGGGTGTGCAGGGCATCCTTCCCGCCTCTCTCAGGCCTGCGGCGGGCCCGGCCAGGCGGGTGACGAAGAGCAGCGGCGGCTGGCACGGCCAGGCGGCCCGAGAAGGCGGCGAGTGGGGCCGGCTCGGCTCGGGGCGGGACGGAGAGGCAGAAGCGCCGGGCGCCGCGTCCTCCTCCCGCGGGTTCCTCCCCTCGCGAGCCGAGCTCCAAAATGGCGGCTGCGCCGGGCCGCGCGAACGCTCCGAGACACCGCCCCGCGCACGCGCCATGGCGGCGGCGGCAGCGCGGGGCCGCGCCCGCCTCAGGGGCCGGGCGGAGGCTGGCGGCGGGGTAGGCCCGAGGGTCCGTGCCCCGGTGCCCCTCCCTGGAGTCCGGGGGAGCGGGAGAGCCGCCCCTTCCCCATTTCTCCGCGCGAGTCACTCTGGCCGTCCCCGGCGCACCCCCGGTCGGTGCGGTGAGTGAGGCGGGGGTGACCGCGTGCCTGCAGCATTGAGGGAGCCCTGCCCTGTGAAGGATGCGGCAGGCGCGCTCTGACACGGGTCACCCCCAGAAACTCCCCAGCCCTTGGCCGTAAGGTATCTGAGGGGGACGCTCCATCTTGTCCCCATCCCTGCTCGGTGCCGCCCAGCCCCGGGCTTTGCTCCCCGGGGCTGCCTCGGGCCACTCTTACTACTCCTGGATCTGAGGGGTGCCAGCACCCTGACCCCAGGCGGTTTGCAGACAGACACCGCCTCCCCTGAGGTTTTGCTGCTTTTTACTAGTTAATTACTTTTCTTTTAAGAAAAACGGCCCGCTGCGATAATCATCTCTGATCTCTAGATAATTTCCTACGTGCTCTAAGGGGCCGTTTCCTGCCTCTTCGTAGCCCTGTTCCCAGATAACGGGGTCAAAGCCCGGCGTGGCCCAGGCGGGAGGGACGATGGTGTGGCAGCCGCCGAAGAGGAAGGAAGCTCCGGAAAGGACTCAGCAGGGCCCGGGGGCAGCGCTTGGCACACGGTGCGGATGAGCTGTTTGAATTTGAGAGGGAGATTGGCGCCGGGAGCCCAGGCAGGCACCGAGCCCTGACTCAGTGCCGGGGGCCGGTCCAGCCGCACTGGGCAAGGGCGCGACACAAGAACGGCGCTGCTCCCCGGAGGTGTAGAAACCTCTGCAGATGGTGTGATTTTAGCTCAGTCTTGTGACTCCGTTTAATTTGTGCTTCTGGTATTCGTTTTGCTTCAGGGCTGGCAACGTGAAATGAAGCAGCGCTTGATAGAAAAAAAAATCCAGTTCAAATGAAAAATAGGTTTGAGATGTCTGTCTTGAAGCGCTTAACTGGACTGTTGTGCAGTGTTATTGCAGCTTTGCTGTCTTTATTTCATGCTCTTTTCCAAAAGTTCAGTCGTTACTCAGTCATTTTTTTGCTCTTTGTTCCTCATCCTGCGTTGGCAGCCAGTGCCAGCTGAGGTGTCTGGATTGGAACATATGGGCTCTGTCTCTGCAGGCATTTAGCAGAGTTCAAATCATCTAAAATGGAAGACTTCTCCAGTGTCGTGTTTTAGACAAAACCATCCAGGAAAAGTCTCATCATCAAGATGAAAGGATCTTAAAGCAGTCCCTAAATCCATGGGCAGGTATCATTTTACCAGCTGCTGACATCCAGCCATCTCCTGGGTGGAAAACAACAGCTGTTAGTCATGTACAGCAGAACAGTGACCTAGAGATGAATAATTGCATCTGAAAAGTCACATTTGTGCAAAAAAATTTCATCCATTACTAGGAAATCTTACTTGGTAGCTATAGCTCTGATCCATTCCTCCTGGTTTAAGTGTTTGTGTCTGCCAATAAGAGTCAGTTTTAAACACCTGTAGACAGGCTACAATACAAAATGAAGGTTATGATGTTTTCTTGTGTGATTTGAACAGATCTGACTTGCTTTCTGTTTGACCATGGCCAAAATACAGATTAAAAGATAGCAACTGGACTTGCAATAATATGCTAAATAATGTTTAAAAATAATACCAAAACCTGTAAGTTAGCAGCAGATTTAATTGCTCATAGTCTGTAAAAAGGAAATAAAAAATCCTGTTGCTTCATTTGATTGAATTGCAGTTTTTGTTAAAATAAAAAACAAAAATACATAGTGATTTTTTAGATATTGTAGAGATAATACTAGAATAGTATTATCAAAATAGTTAGAACGTGTCAGAAATAGGTAGTATTAATTATAAACCAGTTTTTGTGCTGGACTGCTGCTGAAGAACCAGCATTTCCACCTTCCCACCCAGAGAGCATTCTAAGGCATGGAGAGGTTTTCAGTTTGAATGAATTTTTAAATTAGATGTTCTGAACTTGTATATATGCACTCTGTGTGCATCCTTTAAGTAATTCCCTCCTCAGTTTTAGCAACTGTGGTTAAACTGAACCAGATATTTTAGGTAAAAGATCCCACATTCTGCTTCCATATGAGAAAAAGGTGACTTGTTCATCATTAATACAGGGGACAGAATAAAAATCCTTATTTTGTTTCAAATCGAGTACTGGCTATGCTTCCAATGCAAAATTAACAACCCTAATTTAAACTAGGAGGGAAATGGGAAAGGATCTGTTGGATTTGGAAGTGGACAGCTGGAGAAGAAATACAGTAGTGAAAGCAGTTATGAAACAAAACTGAAGCAATCACAATCACTTCTGCAAATGTGGGAGCCTGAAATACTTCAGGATACAAGTCCACTAATTACAAATCTGGCAAATATGCCTGTACAGCTTTACCTCTGTGCTGGCAGGAAATAGGAAAATGGATCATCAAGGAAGCTAATTACTATTCTTCTGGACTTCCTAATGTATCAGCAGTTTGTGTTGGTATTTTGATCACTCAGTTCTGGAAGAGCTGTTTGATTGTTCTCTCACAGACCAGAAATAACTTAAAGCTTTCTTAGTTCATTGTCCATCTGCCCACAATGTCTTGTTGGCTCAGAGAGCTTACTGTAAAAATAAAATTAAAAAAAAAAAACCCTTTTACTGTCAGATACAAGATTGACTTATTTAGGACAGCAGAGAATTTATAAATTAAAAAGAAATACAGAATCAGCTGGAATTCCCTATGAGTAAATGTTTTTCTTGAGGTAACAGAAAGCTTAAGTGGGCTTGTGAAAGTTCAGTTCCTGAAAGGAAAACCAATCAATAATAATTACAGCTCTTGTATCAACCTGTAATTTTTCCTGCAGAAACCTGAAAAATCCTCCTATCAAACCTGAAATCTTTCCTATTTTGTTTACACAGGTAATGGCAGTAAACAAGAAGTGCTTTATGTCTGCTGAGTAAGAGAAAATTGACATTTTTAAAGCAAAGCAATTTTATTATTATTTTGTGTGTGTGTGTGAGTTTGAAAAAAAGACATGCTGGCCTAAAATGAGCAACTGCTAAAAAAATTATCAGGATGGTTTGAGCTAAACTCTTTGGTTTTTTACCTAAATGAAATACATGCAAGTAAGACAGTGCATAGTGTAACATTCAGCAATCATATTTTGCTCAGATGTAAAGAAATTTTGGGGCTGACAGCAAAAAGTTATATTTTTATCAAATATTACCTGCCCTTAGGGTTAATTCATGTAACTTAGGGTTATTATACCTGGTAATATATATATATAAAATATATATATATATATATAATATATATAATATATATACTGGTATATATATATATAATATAATATATTTTATATATATAATATATATAATATATCATTACCTATTATAATATTTTTAATATATATATATATATATAATATATATATACTGGTATATATATTACCAGTAAGTAAAAATAAGAGAAAAATAATGTAGTGCTAAGGTAGGTGATCATCTGCTATAATTTCCTTGCAACTGCATCCTGAGCCTTATATTCATTAGCTTTGCAGAGCATCCAACTGCAACATTTAATAAAAAAATCACAAAATAGCATATCCTGATAATGGAATAATGGATGGGCTCTCTAGAAATCAGTATTTACAAAAAAGCATATCCTGATAAATGGAATAATGGTCAGTATTCACACACAGGAGTGACAGGGTAGAAAAATGGAAACCTTCTCCCCCAAAGTTTTCTCAAGAAGTTTCTTTGGCTCATTAATTACTCATGAATGTCTTCTGTTCTCCTCTGTAATCTAAGAATTAGCTCTCAGCTTGGTTATTTGTAACAGTGAGTAATACCCTCTAGTGGCACACACAGGAAAAGGAGCTAGACAAAGAATGATTAATTCTTTTTCATCTAAATAACAAAAATAACCCTGTATCTTTGTATAACACTGGTCTGTCCAGAGGTGCTGGTTAAAATGGAAAATGGAAAACAATCCCTTTAATCACCTTTCTGCAGAGGAAACAAATTGCCCCCTGCAGTCTGAAGGAGGGGTTCTAGTGATAGCCAGGTCAGAGAGGGATGTCCTTACATCTGCAGGCTGCATTTAATTCCTACACATCACAAGTAACTCTGCAGGCAAAAAATGAATATTTATCAGTCTCTAATAATGCACTGTAATAAAGTCTGTATTTCCAGACCCTGTGTGCAGTACAGAGTTCACTATCAAAGAATTATTTTCTGAAAAAGCTCCTAATCAGGGTTTCCTGCAGTTACCAGGTCTTTTGTTTTATTTGCCAATTGGCAAAGGTTCAGAGATGGAGCTGAAAATTGGCAGTGCTGAAGAAATGACAGTGAAAGAGGTGCTGAGGAAAATTGACAGTGCTGAAGTCCAACAAATGCCCCTCTTACCAAGAAAAAGCTATTGAACTTATTTAAACAAATGTGCAAATACTCTTAATCTTTTTCCAGCAGCCCAGTCTACTAAAGCAGAGTAACTGAGGTCTGTTTTGAAATCATCTTTGCCTCCATCACCAATACCCCAAGCAGGGGGAATATGCAGGAATTCCTGCACATCCATGTGCAGTATTTGTCACAAGTGATGACACTTGCCTAGTCCCATGTCATTCTGGTTGTCCCTGGTTTTGCCTTTCTGCAAGCCCATTATTGCTGTAAGATTGAAAAGTTTTTGGGAGTTTTTCAGGATTTTCTGGTGCACTGATTACTCCACCCCTCCTAGAGGAAGGATCTCATAGTGTTCAGTACCACACTGGTTCAGACTTTAAATCAGCTTCTAACCTAATGCTAAGCAAGATGGGAGTCAGGAATCAATTATTTTAAGGTCCCATGAAGGAAGGATTTACTGGGCCTTATCTTTCTCAGCTGTAGTTCCTGGCACTGGTTCAGCTACTGCAGAGTTTGGACCAGTGTAATCTCCCATACTTCTTGTTATCTCATTATTTTTTTTCTTTTGCTGTGGCAAACCAATCTCTGCTCTCTTTATTCTCTTGTAAAGCCTATAATAAAAGAATGAAAAAATCGCCCATCTCCCAGGCTGGAGTAACTTTGCCAATCCTGCTGCAGGATATAATGAAACTTTCAGCCACCACATCACTGTTAATAAAACGGAGACAGCAGTTAAAAAAGTTCTGACAAGAATTTATTAATTTCTGGTTGAGAACAATGAAATGTGTCTGACCAGGAAATGATGAAATTGCCATATTCTGTACAGAGAGATTTTTCTAGAAATCTCCTTTCCACTGTGTTGACAGAACTTGCAGTATAGAAGTTCAGGAGTGGGTGTCAGTTCACAGACTCTCAGCCAGTTCCAGGGATGGCTGCATGCCCAGATGGGATGAAGGTTCAGACTTGCTACTCTTCCTGTTTCTGTACGTTCACTCCTGCTGGAAACCTAATCAAGCTGTCTGACACCTGGCACAGGAGGGCAGCACTAGGTGTTACCTTCCTGTATTAAGCTGGCTAGGAAGTTTTATTACCCAAAAGAAAAGAAAAAAAAAAAATCTCAAGAAGCTATTTTGAGCTGAAAGCTGGAAGGAAAGAAGCAAGTCAAGCTGAGCCTTCTGTGCTTTTATTCTGTCCATGCTGAAGGCTGAGAAAAGCCTCCTTCAGAGTACAAGAACCTCTCTACAAGGGGGAAATGGCAGTTGTGTGGTTACTGTAAAAACGCTGCTTTCTGGCAGGGGGCAGTACTGACTGCCAGTGCATTTTGTGCAGGACACTTGCAGGTGGGCAGGTATTGACTGTGAACGGCATTTTGTGCGAAACACTTCTTTTTAAAACCTTTAAATACTTTTATGATATAAGAAAGACATATAAAATCTCTCAAGTACTTTCCCCAAGCCTTCATTTCTTCATCCACTGGCAAAAAAGAAAAAAATTAAAATTTTCTAATCTTCACTTGAGTTGTCAAATTCCTCCCAGTCTGATACACTCATAACTTCTGGTGGAAAGTCAAGATGATGCTTCATTCTGTCTGCATGCCACTCTGAGAGCCACTTCTCTGTTTCCATTAAAATAGCCCTGGGCAATGTGAGGACACAGGCAGCCATGCCAGAAATGTCATCCTCCAGCTGGGGCCCTTCCTCCCAGCAGTCTCTCTCTGCATCATAAATGTGCACATAGTCCATGCGGATTCCCCTGTTGTGGGATCTGCCTCCCAGCACATAAATCCTGTTGTCTAAGACTGCAATGCCTGGCTCTCCATGTCCTGCAGGAAGTGGGCACACATTTGTCCACTGATCAGTGCTTGGCTTATAGCAGGCAACCTGTAAAACAAAAAAAGAAATGAGAGAAGGCAAAACTGGACTGGTATCCTCATCCATAAGCTTGGCCAGTTTATCCTTGGCCATAAACTTGCAGCCTGGCCATAAAATAAACTATTTAGGAAGGAATATCACCTTTTGACAGTGTGTTGATAATGGAGCCAGCATGTGATTATCTAATACAAGTACAGTGCTCAGCAGAAATTTGTGCATAGTTGCCACATAGCTTTGAAATCACAAGTTCTGACCCTGCTGCTGGAGTAGCAGCTGTATGTCATTCCAAAAATGTATACAAAAGTGAAAGAGATGGGGACATGTGCTAATATAAGCCCAGACATAATTCACCTGTTTGCATTAGAGAAGAAATGCTGGAACATACAAATATGACAAATCTGCTAAGCTGCCTCTGTGCCATATGTTGGAGAGTTTCAGATTTCATTGGGTACCTACTTGGCTAACTGCTTTCATTTGTAGGCACCTTCTTATCATTCAGACACACTCTTCAGCTAGATTTAATTCTGCCATCTCCACTGGCTCTATAAAAACAGTTACTTCTTGTGTCTTCTTTTCAAGTCTCTAGCAGTTCTAGAAGCTGGAATAAGGTTGAAGAGAATTCTCTCCAGATGTCCTTTGTAATCAGACACTGTACATTTAATTGCATTGTACAACTGCCATCCAATACCTCCAAGTAGGGGGAATATGCAGGAACTTACTGCATTTCTCTGCATTTCTTATTCTTTTCAAGTCTCTAGCAGTTCTAGAAGTGGCAATAAGGTTCTCTCCAGATGTCTTTTACCATGCTGTACATTTTAATTGCATTATACATTTGCCATCCAACATACCCCCAAGTAGGGGCAATATGTAGGAATTTACATCCTTAACAGCTCTGCCCTGCAATTACACATTGGTAATTCAAAAGTTCTCCACTTATAAAAAATTAATGGAAAGACAGCATAAAGGAAATTTAACTGATGTTTTACTGGGCATATGCATGCCAATGAAGTTATCCATCAGAGATGTTTTAAAATTGGTAAGAATTCCAAGTGCTGGAGCTTTAATGCTTTGTGGGTGAGACAAAGTGTTCAAGACAGACAACAGCAAAGAAATCATTGCCAGTTCTGCAGGTGAGTGGGGGAGAGCTCATCCAGCAGCCATTGCTGAGCAGGCAGTTTTATCTGCATACTTAGTAGGACAAAGACATTACATCCAAGTGCCAGCATCCACAAGAAGCCAAGAACAGACCCAGGCATTGCTGTATTGCACTAAACAGTTCATGTTCTGTCACATGGATTGTTATTCCCTTCTCCCATCACATGGTCTCTCCCTCATCCTGTACCCCCTGGTGGTCTGGCCCCTGGTTACCCCTCCTCAATGGTATCCCATTGGCTGGGGTCCTCTTCCCCTGCCCCCATTCTCAGGTATAAATGTCCCCTGCAAGAAGGGAAGCCTCTCTCTTCTATCTGGGGGTTGCCAGAGTCTGAGGTGTCCCTTCCCAAGCCAATAAACAGGACACTTGTCCCCATGTGAAGAGCATTTCTGGTGTTTTGCTTTGTCCATGTAAGACTGTGTGGGCCAGTGTGGGACCCCAGAACATCCTCTGGCTGTCCAGGATGGCCAGGACCCCTGCCAGGGGGCTCAGGGACCCTGGCACAGAGCCCAAAACACCTGTGGGTTTGATTATGGTCCATGGAGCAAATTACCAACCTTAGATGGAGATCACCAAGCCACAACAGTTTAGGTAGAATAATAGTGAAGTTATCACGGGGTGGAAAAGTAGATTTTGGGGTTTTGGTATGGGGGTTCAGGAGGCAAGATGGAGGGAACTGAGTGTGTCCAGCCTTTCTCCTTCTTCTTCTTGGCCTCCATCTCCTGCTGTGATGTTGGCACTCACAGGTTGGTTTAGAGTAGAAGCTCACTGTCTAACACAGGTGATAGGTATTGGGAAGGAATTGTAAATATTGAATGTGGTATTCACATGCCCTCTGAACAGAGATAAGCTGTGAGACAAGCAGAGAAGAAGGAAAACACAATTCTTATCTCGCTTGCTGTGCCTGTGTTGTGCTATAGTAGAATGCAATATGGAGATTATTTACCCAGAGTGAGGGTGTTTTGTTCCCTTGGCCTGTCAGGGCCAGGNCAGGGCTCCTCGGGGGGCCTGAGTCAGCTCCTGCTCCTCAGCCATCCCACGCACCAATGCTCAGCCACCAGCTGCAGCAGAATGAAATCTGTCAGACAACAGAATCGGCAAAGCTTTGTGCTTTTTGCTTTACACACGGTGCTCTGAGCCTTGCCCGTCGCAGAAAATCAAGCGACTCTTCAGGCAATGGAGACAGCACTGTCCTGGACAAATGATTCCAAATTATACTGAAAACACACAGATGGACATCAGCACACCAAAGTGGTAGAATAAGGTTTTCCAAAACCAGGTTTTCCAAATAAGAATAAGGTTTTCCAAACCCAGGTGTCAGGTATTCTGACTCCTGGGTTTTCACACCAATGTCAGAGTACGTGTCAGCGGGTATTTTTTTTATTAGCAAGAGTTTCACTTCCCAATCCATTACCAAACCCCCGTTTCTTTTGTATTTCTGCATCATCTGCAACAAAAAATGGACCAAAATTTTGCCAAAGTCCACATGGTAATTTTGCCAAATTTCAAATTGGAATTATGCCAAATTCCAATCGGCTGGTATTCTCAGGTAACTTTTCAGCAGTATAAACGGCACCTTCCATCTTTCTATTAGTATTTCATCACAGAATCTTCTCTCTCCTCTCTCTCCCTCTCTCCTCTCTCTCCCTATGTTTGCATTTTGCATTTTCTGTAGCTAAGCACATTTCCAACCTTAATTGTGCAAAATACTGGCTTCAAAGTGAGTTTCTTTATTTTGGCAATTTCAAGCTAGCATGCACAGCTACTTTCCACTTCCCCAGGACTCCCTGCAGAGAGGAAGTATTTCCTCCAGAATGGGCACTGTCCAAGGCTATCCTGTACCTTTTCCTAAGGCTGCCACTGACACACTGGGAAGGTCCCCTATGGCACATTGGGAAACATCTGTAAAAAGCTGTCTGCAAGTGATTGTTTCATGTCCATGGTTAAGCAATCAAAATCTCATGAGTCCTCTTCTACCATCCTGTAATTTACCCTGCCCATTGTCTTTGAAGAATGTCAGTAGTTGTGGCAGTCAGAGCTCACTAAAAAACACCCCCCATTAGCCAAAGGAAATAAGTGAGCTGATTTGGCTGCTAACACACTCAGAAGATCCTCTCTCCAGCAGGGAAATAGCTTAGTGCCACCAGGGACAGTCTCAAGGGGTCAGCAGCAGTCAGGGAAGCAGAAGAGAACAAACCCAGCAAGTGCAAGCAGAGAGTGAAGCAATGGAACCATTGTTTCATTGTGGCAGCCACAGACAGCCAGGGCAGATCTCAAACACTGCAGGTACTCTGGCCATGGCAGCCAGGAAGGAGCTGCCCAGATGACACCAAGAAATATCAGAGTGTTCATTGTTCTGCCTGAGGAAGTTACCCTGCCCAAAACAAAAGGTGAATGGGATGGAAAATACCCTGAGAAAGTGAATTAATGTCTATCTGCTCTTTGCCAGCAAAACCAAGAGCAGCTCTGACAAAACAGCCTTGTGGGGAGCACTCAGGTCGATTAGAGAGGGAAAACTATCCATCATCAGCTGAAGAGATGAGTAATGGCTTATTTTTCATGACAGCTTGATGCTTTCCCTAGAAATCAAATGAAAGCAGACAAAACATTAGTGGATCATTGCATTTGCTCCTGGGGAATACTAGGAGTGATGGATTGAGGCAAGGGAAATAATGTAGTAAGAAAGGCAAGTGAAACAGTAAGTATTATATGATTTTCATCAGAAATTTCCCATTTTACTAAAAGAAAATAAATGCAGCAAAACCAAAGCAGGGTGACATATGGTCCAAATGAGGGACTGATGAAGATTAACTCTGTTAATGTGGTTTAATGTGGTTAAAGCTCCAAAAAAGGTTTTATCTTTTCCTCTTCTTAGAGAGCTGTATCAAAAGGAGTCCCTATGGAAGTAAAATTACTGTATCAAAAAGCAGAAGTAAAAGCAACAAATTAACTACTTCTGAATCCAAGGACATTTCAGGATTAGGGGAAACACCATGACCTTTGATACAATCTTATATACTGCAGTCATTGGTGGGAGAGAGGCCAAGGCAAGATAAGAGAGAAATAAAACTACAGGGGCACTGAAGCCCTGTAATAAGTGTTAGCAAATAAATGTATTGTAGCAGAAGCTGGTTACAGACAGAGATACATGCAGGGTAGAGTGGGAAACCCATATAATTATGCAAGCCTTTATTTATTTAATTTTCTTTAACATGACTGTAGACAGTTATTGTTCAGAATATATTCTCTAGCTGAATAATCTGAAAAAGTAACAGAAAAAGGATGAAGCTTTCAGCAAGTAAAGCCCCAGAAGAGATCTGGTCTTACAAATGTGGTAACTGGAAGCAGGAAGATTAAATGGCATTATGAAAGAGAGAAAATAGAAATACATTAAAAGGATAAATTATTTAGTGATTCTGTAGCCAGTGTGAGCATCAGTATCTGAATAGCTCTCGGTGACAAGTGGGGCTGTCCTGCAGATCTGCAGGGATTTATCTCACACTTAGCTGGAGTAGATACTTCAATTATGCCACAACCATTACCAAGAGCTGAACCAAGCAGCTCTGCTGTGACCACCCAGCGTGGCCACGAGGAGATGCTGGGAGTGCAGCTGAGCCATCCCCCACAGCTGATTTTCCTGGGTAACAGCTGAACCTACAGATTTTTTGCTGTGCTCTCCCTTCTGAACTCTGGCACTGCTGAGCTCCTGTTCCCAGCTCCTGTCCCTGGGCTGTACCCAGCTGTCACTGTGAGCTGGATGTCCCTCAGGGTGATGCTTGTGCATCATCCTGAGGAACTGCTCCCAGCCTCAACAATTAAAGGTGAACATCTGTAGTATTAATCTATAAATCTGACTGACAGATGTGAGCCAAAAGCCCCTTAACTCTTTCCAAGGTAGTTTCAGGAGCTGCCAGACAAGAGGTGTGAGCCCAAGGAGGGCAGAGGAGCAGGGGCTGCTGTGGGGATGTGGCCAGCAGGATCCCCTCAGCTGAGGGTGCTCAGCTCTGCAGGGCTGGGCAGGAAGGTACAGGAGCAGCTGCTCAGGCAGGGTTAGTGGGGTTGTCTTTTGGGCTTCTTTCAAAGAGAATTGGCATTTGGGTTTTCTGGATTAAATGCAGTGTGTTCGCTGAGTTGACTGATCATTCTGTGTATTTCTTTGGGTATTGTTCTAAATGTTGATTACAAAATTGCTGAGGAGGGATGTTGCTGTTAGCACAGCACCCTGCTTCTCACCAGTGTGCTTTGTGCCTTTGCTGCTGTTCTAAAAATCTTTTTTACCTAATCTTTATTTTAAAAAAAACCCAAAACAACCCAAAGCTGCCTAAATGTAATGTAAGCAGGACAGTTCTGGATAGAGAGACAGAATAGGTTTGTTCCTCCATCCTGAGCTTCTCTACTGTCAGCTTCGTGCTTGCAGGATGTACCTTCAGCTTCTTGCTCATAGGATGTACCTAAAGCTTCTTTGCTCTTATTTCTGTTATTGTGAAAACAGCTCTGGGACTGAGACAAGCTCTTAGAAATTTGAGTAATATGTTTGCTTTCCCTTCTCTTCCTGAGAAAGTTTCTCAGTACTGGTCAGTTGTTAGCAGTGGGTTCAGTGGCTGAGTGCTGCAGAACTGTTTCCCAACCTGCAGGTGGGAAATATGAGGAATTCTTTGAGTTCACTGTGCTTCTTTAGCAGTAGCAAAGATAACAAGTATTGTCTCATGTGCTGTGGGATGTTGTCTGCAGAAACAGGCAAGTCCTTGTTCTGACCACTTTGAAATTGCAGAGAAAATCAGGCTGGACATCTTTTGCTGGCTGCACAATGCATTTCAGTCTGCAGTTTTGTTAGTTTGTATTTGTATTTCAGAGGATGTGGGTTGATGCAGTGATTAATTTTAAGGCATTACAACTAAGTTTCCAGTACATAAAGAAGAAAGCACATGGGATCAGGAATTGTATATGCATGTCTGCAGGCAAGTGTAGAAAGATGTTGGCTGTTTGGTCACTTTGAATCAAGGAGTTAAAAAAACTACAACAGCCAAAAAAATCCCCCATAAATGGAAAAACCCTCAGGGGTACCTAAAAACACAAGACTGCTCTTTTTCAGTGGCCTGAAATCTTCTACATTCTGTGTCTGGATTCCATCTGGGAACCAAGAGAAGGCAGCCATGCCTTGCAATGGAGGGAGCAAAGAAGTTCTTTCTTCTCTTTCCTGTATTCTACACAAAGTTCACTGAATCACCAGCTATGGACACAGTGAGAGCTGAATGTCTCAGTGACCTGCAGATAACTCTGTGCTTGTCTTGTGTTCAAATTCTACAACATGCTTCTGCAGATTACTGGCATGAAGAAAAGTAAAGGTCTTAAGCTTCTGATTATTCAATGAAATAATTAATTAACTACCCATTAAAAGAGTCATGGTAATTTTTAAAAATAAAATCCCCTCTCTGATCAACAACAGAATATTTGCTTTCATAATAAAGGTATGTGGGTTATGACTGAGGAAGGTGGCAGTGGGACGGGAGGAATTTAGGGAATGCACTGTAGTTTGATGAATGGCAAAATGGTGAGAAACTGGTATGCTCACTAAAAATCCTTATCCTTTTAAGAACACCTTTTAAGGTCTAGAAATGGAGTAACTCAACTACAAGCAGAGGAGAAGGGAAAAGTTAAGGGCATGGCAAGACAGATAAGATAGAGAAGAATGCAATGTCTGTCCTAATNGGGCCGTCGGCCAGCACGTCCCAGCGGTCAGTCCTGGGGTCATAGCACTGCAGCTCCTTCAGGTAATCCTCCCCTCTCCTGCCACACGAGATGTACATCTTGCCATCCAGCGCCGCTCCCGCGTGCGCGTACACCTGCACGGCACAAGCAGGGCAAAGCAACAGCTTGGCTGTTTCTCCCAGTTTGGAAGCAGGGAATAGACATGAAGGGAGTGATATTGGTCATGAGTTATGCAGAGATCAAAAGCAGAAAGGATTTTCTTATGGACAGTTCTTTCTAATATATTATAATTGTGATTTTCTGAATGAAACACGTTAGAATTTCTAAAGCTTCCAGAAATGCAGCATTCTCTGTCTTTATTGTTCCTTCATACTATAACCTTACTCCCTAATCTTCTTGGAAGCCTTTTTATTGGTGATTTTTCTTATACAAGCAACATTATCAGGAATGCAAGTTATTCTACTTAGTAGCACTCAATTCAGGCTTTTTATATTTTCACACATTTATTATTCTTTAAGGATTAACACAATAAAGATGCAGGCAAAATCAACAAGAAACAGGAAAAAAATTAACATTTAACTGGAAAATGTAATTTACATATGCTATTATTTCATTTTCTTGTCATCCATTTACTCCACATACAGAATTTACTGCTTCCCATCTAAATATCAGCAAATTTAAAGTTACACCTGAGAAAAACATCTAGCAAGCTTAAATAAGGAATTGGGGGGCTGTGGTAGTGTGTGTGGCTAATGCACTCCTTACCTCCTTCTTCAGAGGTGTCACATATTCCCAAGTGTTGGTTTTAGGGTCATACCTCTCCACTTCCCTCAGGTCTTCATGGTAATCTCGGCCTGCGACGGCATAAATATAGTTGTCCACGACACAAACACTGAGGTCAGCGTGCTCTTGCTGCAGGGACTGGATCTGGAACCATCTGTTGTGTCGTGGGTCATACCTTGCAAAAGAATGGGATCAAAGAAAGTTATTCCTGCAGCTGCAGAATCGCTGCAGGAACACCAGACAGCTCTGGGGATGTGGGTACTGCACTGGCTTCAGCTGAAATTGAGCTCGTCTCTAAGAGATGTGAAATTTGGCCTTTATTTTATTGGCATTTTATTATTAATAAAGTTGTTTTGTTTAATAAAGTTGTTTTGTTCTATTTATAGAAGATGTAGTTTGGCTGACATAATGATGCTATCAAAGCCTGGGTTTTCCATTATCTTGTACACTGCTGTCAGGTTACACATCACAATCTCTGTTTGCACAAAGCCATTCTACAAGGTAACACAGTCTAAAAACAGCACAAAGACTCAATCTGGATCTTCCAGAATACAAGAAGGGCATAAATATGCTGATTCTTTGATATAAATATCTTTGATTCTTTTCCCCAAATATCTGCTGCTCAAAGTGAATCTCATTATTCACTTTCATGTCAAACCATCTCTCTCATCTGGAAATTTTAGTTACAGAGAAAACTGGTTGAGAATTGAAACTATGCATGCCATAAAATAAGAGCAACTCAGCTAAGGCTTGTAAAACTGAGCACAATATAAAGACAGAAGGGTTTATATCTGTTTTTGCAATGTAATGGGCATGAAGGTCTAAACCTGCTCCCCCCTCCTGCTCTTCCCTGTCACACAGTAATATAAAAGCACTCTGGAATGATGCAATTGTGCACACAGATTCTTGAAAATCTGTTGGTAAGAGCATTTTATTTTAAATCCTTTTGTATTGGGACAAAAACTACACATAGAAGACTTCCAGAAAATGCCAGTTAGAGAACATCTAGACAGCCTAGAGTTCAGGCTCATTACTGCTTCCCACACCTTTAATACTTCCTCCTCCAACAAGGCAGAAAGAAGCACAAGTAATACACTTTAATGAGTAGCTGTTTCTACACTGTCAGGCTCAGCTTTGTCTCATAAGCACTGCTGGGAGCTTCCTGTTACTATGAAGCTCATTAAATGAAGCTCATTTCTTGTGTTTTCAGTGAGGCTCCTGCTCAGCTCCTGATCATTTGGCTGGCAAGTGTACTGACTGTCTGCTGGCTTACTGACTCAGAAATGGGCAATAAAATTAATAGCAGGATTATCCTTATCTTACCTCCAACACCTTGACTCTGCTCGAAAACCACTTACATTGTTGTCTCCACCAATTAAATATACAAAATTATTGAGAACAGCAATCCCTTGGTTGGACATTCTGGGGGCTAGTGCAGCTGTGAAATGCCTCCACTCCCCCAACAAAGGGTTCAGATACTTGGCTTGATCACTGAGGACAATGGAGGGAGTAGAATGCATCCCTCCAAATCCCACTACACACTGGAACTCTGATCTCAGCTGTGTCTGGGAGCTCTGAAGCATTGGCTGAAGACATTCATTCTTGTGGTACATTAATGCATCTGCAACTGTATCTTTTAAAGGACATGGACTTAATTTGTCATGAAGTCTTTGCAGAATCTGGGGTTCCATCAGAGGAAAACGAACTGTCTCAAGTAGCTTAAGGGGCTCCATCAGGGAGACCTGATCTGTCTCCAGTTCCTCTGGAGAATAATGATAAAAAAGTGCTCCATCATAAACTTCAAACTCATAGTTAACCTCCAAACGGTTGCTGCTGAGAAGGGAGTAGACTTTCTGCAGGGGCAGCTGGCGGTACACCTGTGTCCTTGAGAAAGCTGTGAAGTTCTTCAGAATGTAGGAGTCCAGCTGCTCACTCAAATGCTTCAAGTCATAGTGGTCAGCTAGTCTGTACACATCAAGGATGTTCTCTTCATCGACCCAGGACATGAGGAAATCACAACAGAACTTAATGACTTCTGGAATCTGCAAGAGAGAGAGGGTTTTCATTTCAGACACCACCTGCCCCACACTTGAGAGCCAGGAGACTGAAGCCTGGGATGATTGTGAGGAAATTGTCCATGAAATGGCTGCTCTCCTCACAGTCTGAGCACCAAGGTCACCTGTGCTCTATTCACTTTTCCCCAGAGAAACAGAACTCAGCATGGGTGTGTGGATGAATATAACACAGCCTTTCCAGCCATGCTCTGCTGCAAGGCTAAGTTTCAGGTGCAGCAGCAATGCCTTCCATTGGGACCCTGGGCACTGCCTGCCTGGAACAGCCAGGAAAACACACAGGACATGGTGATTACAGTCACTCTCTGCTTGTTTTCCCAGAGCACTACAGACATGCTATATCAAAGATTGTACCTCTAACAAATGTTTCACTCAAGAGCATAGGAAGCCATTGGAAAGGAAAATGAATATTTAGTACTGTCTTCTGAACACAATTTGAAGTTGTATCTGGGAGGAAGAACAAAGATGTAACTGCTGTCCAGGAGCCCCTCTGCTAACAAAGTATGTAAAAACCATACATACCAAAGCAAGCACTCACAAAGTTTAGGATTTAGTACCAAAACCTTGTGCAGCAGTTAGCTGCAGGGGAAATTAGAGAGAAAAAAAACTTGTCTTAAAAGCACATGAACCCTGCACTCAGTGCAGACCATAGTGGCAGGATTTCCTGTAGTGATGGGGTCAGGAGAGGCCATGAGCCTGTGGGCTCACCTTGAGCAGCACAGCAATTCCTGAGCAGCAAACCCTATTCCTTACCACAGGCCAGGGATTTTCTGTTTCAGGGAAACTTTCACAAACACATCAGTGAAAGTGAATGCTACATAAAATACTCCTCTAGATGAAATGGGTAATGTTTTTACTAGTGAAACCTTTGGCACAAGTGAGATGTGCAAGTACCCATTCATTGTTCCTACCCTTCCACAGTTAGTTCCAGTGGATACAGCATCCCAGAAATCCTTCTTATCATGCCCAAGCTCCTGCTCACCTCTTAACCCTCCCTCTAACCACATATTCTGTTTCTTTCATCATTGCTTTTGTTTCTTGTTTCTTTTTTGTGACATCTCCCAGTACCTCACCTGGAGCTGACAGGCTGCAGCTAAGGTTTCCTGTACACTGTTCACACTGAGTTCCAGCTCAGAAGTGTAAATGAAGTTCAAGATTTTACACATTGCATTGTAGGTGATGCCATGAATATGAACTTCTTCTTGTTCCATCTCTCTCAATCCTCCTGCAAACATTCCTCTGCAAAACAGACAATGGCACATGCTATGGCAGATTTGCATCGAAGCTATTTCCAGTTTGCTCATCTTATTTTGTCCTGGGAACATAAAAAATATTCAGAAATACAAAAACCTAGCTGGACACTTTAATGTGATCTAAGTTAAGAGTACAGGCCTTTAGGTCATAAGAAAGTAACACTTCATTGTGCAGGAAAACAGTAGGGGTACCTAGAAGGGACAGTTCACAGGTGAAGGACTTAAATACACACCCAGTATCTAAAGGAGTCAAAGCCAGATACTCTGGGTGTGTGGGAAGAGGAAATACAGAGGAACTCGGGACAGTGGATTTTTTTTCCAAGGCAGAGCAGTTCTTCCTTCAGTTAGAAGTTTGAATTGACTTGGGTGTTTGCTCTATGAAAACAAAGGAACTGCTCATCACACTGCCTGGGGACTGCCTGGTTCAATGGCCAGTGAGTCACCCTACAGGCACACAGCAGTGACCCAGCTCCAGTGAGTTTTTGTGCATTATGAAATGATCACCACCACAGGCAAAGTCTTACAATGCCAAGGATATGTTAAAAGCCACTTAGAGTGCACTTAAGCAGAAGACACCAGCTCAGATAGTCTCTCCTCTTTATAAACCTCCAAGTACCACAGTGAATTTAGTGGAGGTAAACTCAGTGTGCAGGAACAAGAGCTTTATTTCTGCAGAGAAATAACAGAGAGATGAATAAAGCCATAGTTAATATTTTGAAACAGCCTGTCACTCTTGTGCTGAGAATAACACAGGAACAGGCAGGAGGCAGTATTGCAGAAAGAGCAAAAGAAGGCTAATTAATTACTTTATTATACTGTATTACATTATGTTACATTACATCTAAACTGAACCTGCCAAGCACTCAACTGCACTCCACTGCACAGAACCAGTCCTGACACACACACACACACCTGGCCCTGACAGGCCAAGGAAACAAAACTCCATCACTGTGGGTACACAATCTCCATACTGCATTCTACTTCTGCACAACACAGGCACAGCAAATGAGATAAGAATTGTTTTGATCGTTCTCTGAGGTTTAGAGATTGTGAATCCCAGAAATATTCTTGGGAAGTTGTGCCTTGCTTGCTTGCTTTTCTCTGTGAGGAGAAATGTGGCTACAACAGCCTCAGCTCCATCTTACAGGTCTGATTTTCCATTCACAAGGAGTCTGCCCAGCCAAAAGCTTTGGATGTCACAGCTGTGACTAACAGCCAGCCACGTGCCTGTTACTGTGATATTTTATGAAAAATCCCTTTGCCAGGATTTTTTCTCCTGAGAAGCTTCAACTTTTCCATGTTTTCCTATTTGGAATGTGATTTGGAGAATTGTTTACCCAGCATGTGAATTGTCTTTACTTCATAACCAATCCCAGTCCAGCTGTGTCAGACTCTCTAATCAATCACAACTTTTTATTATTCATTCTTTTCTAGCCTTCTGATATCTCCTTTCTCTTTCTTTAGTATAGTTTTAATATATCATTTTCTTTTAATATAATATAATATCATAAAATAATAAATCAGCCTTCTGAGAACTTGGGAGTCAATTCTCATCTCTCACCTTGTCCTAAGACCCACAACACCACCACAACACGTGCCTGTTGCTGCAGTGTGTCGCTCTAGGACACAAAATAAAAGAACACGGACGTTCAAAGACATATTTTATGAAAAATCTTTTTGCTAGAATTTTTCTCTTGAGAAGCTGAAAGACCTCAGAAACAAAATGTAACCAATGGTTATCTGCTGCTGTGGAATGCAACAGGTGCATCTGTGATTGGTCTCATGTGGTTGTTTGTAATTAATGGCCAATCACAGCTGGCTCGGACTCTCTGAGAGTCACGAGCTTTTGTTATTGTTCCTTTCTATTCCTTGCTAACCTTCTGATGAAATCCTTTTTTATATTCTTTTAATATAGTATACATTGTATGTTATATATAAATATATGTTTTAATATATAATTTTCTTTTAATATAATATATATCATAAAATAAATCAACTTTCTGAAACACGGAGTCAAGACTCTCATCTCTTCCCTCATCCTAAGACCCCTACAAACACCACCACAGCGGACAGTGGACTTTCTAAGGTAAAAATGAGGGTGTTTAATTTCTGACTCCAACATTCACTGATTTCCAAAAGTTTATGGATTTCCAGAAGTGGATTGGAGGATGACAGTGCCACTTCTCCAATGACACTGGACAAATCTCTTCGTCCATAAAAGAATGCAAACCAGTAAGTGTCGCAGACATTTCGTCATAGAAATCTTTTCTTTGAGATTTGTCTATCTTCTGGGAAGCAGAGCCCCAGAAAAAGAATGTAAACAAATTGTTATTGGCTGTTGTGAAATGTGGCAAGTGATCCTGTGATTGGCTCATCTTCCATGTTT